TCGTGGGGACTTTTTCGTGCCCGCCCCCAGCGAGAACTGTGATGTCCTTCGGGCGCGGAGCGGGGAACACGTTCCTGTGGTAGTAGCTGTCCAGCTTGGAGAAGGTGTCGTCGGTGATCTCCTTGCCGATGACGATTCCGCGGTGCTCTTTGATCGGCTCCATCTCCTGCGCTGCGATCAGATACATCAGCGCGTCGAGGTGGAGCTTCCTGAAGTTACTGACGAACTCCTTGCCGTATCCTTCCTCCGCCCTATTCGCAAGGACTTCCTTGGTGACCCAGTCGATGCCGCGAGCGGTGGTGAAGGAACGGAACATGAGTTTTTCGTGGTACCTCAAGTAGCGCATGGTGAACGCTCTCTGGTTGCTAACGAAGACCACGCCTGAACGCTCGAAGTCCGCCAACGTCGCCGTATTGACCTTGTCGCCGCTGACCCACATGAAGTTAGGGCCGTACCTGAGCTGGCAAGCTCTGTTGGTGCATCTCCAGGGCTTCACGGCGACCTCCGTGGTGCAGTGGAGGTCGTACAGCGTGCACGAGATGTCGGAGCGAGACGCCGTCCCCGTGCGGTGCTGCAGCGGCGCGCTGCAGTGAACGCACTTCCACAGATGTGTCTCGAAGGAGCCCTCTGTGTCCACCGCGCGTTGCAGACCAGGCCCTGGCTGAAACAAGTCATCAGCGCCCGCCGCTGGCAACGTGTAGGCGTCGTCCCCGTCTGTCGGCAAGCCCGCGTCCGCACTCGCCGCCTTAAGGGAAAACCAATTCAAGTCCCTGCCCTCCGCGATCGCCTCTAGCTCGGCCAGGCGCAAGTGCATCTCCACCGAAGGGGCCGTCGGGTCCCAGAGCGCCGCGCAACCGCCCTCCAAGATTCTGACCCCGTGGCAATGCGCTGGCGCAGGCGCTGATTGAGGCTCGATGACACCGTAGACAGTGCCCTCGGCGTGGTCGAGGCGGAAGACGCTGTTCGCAGACTCCTTGGTGAACTGAGGGATCTTGGCCGCATCTCGCTGTGAATGGTCCAACCCGGACTCGTTGAACTCCTTCACCGTCATGGTCGCGCTCTCTTCGTCGAGCACTGTTTTGGGGGACAGCTGTGCCCAATCAGCCACCGAGACGACGCAAGTGGCTACCTCGCGATCGCCGCGCCTCCTCCGCGCGACCACCGTCTGCGGGCAGCGAGGCGCTGCCCTGGCGAAGCGCACGTGCTCGGCTCCGCGCCCCCATGTCTTGATCTGGAGCTCCACGCCAGCGGCGGCGCTCGCCTCGGCCACGGCTGCCGCGAGCGTCGCCCCGCCTCGGAAATCCACGACTTTGGCGATGAGGCCGTAGAATATGAGAACCTCGCGGATGCTCCCCGCGCCCCGAACCTTGTCCAACATAACCATCAACGCATTATTCTCCATGTGCGAGACGATGGCGGCGATCCTGCTGAAGATGGGACTCGGGCGGTCGGCGTGCAAGACGTTGTATCCCGCGAACTCGGCGCAACCGAGCAGGAGGTGAGCGCCGTCCACAATCTCGTTGGAGAGCTTCAACATCCACGGCAGCTGCGTGGCTGGCCGAGCACCAAAGGAATGATATAGGAAGGGCGAGAAAGGGCGGGGGAGGGATAGGAAGGCGAGGCGGCAGGAGGGATGAAGGATGGGGAGGAGGAGGAAGGGAACGAGGGAGACGGGAGAGGGGGCGAAGATCGGACCGAAGAGGGGCGAGTCGGGAACGAAGTGGAAGGGTGGCAGGTGGTGGGCGGGGGAGGGAGGGGGAAATCTGGATTTGATCACAGCCGCGAGAACCGTAAAACAACTTGATCAACTCAACCTTGGACTCGTCAGCGGAGATCTCGAGGTGCATGGCAACAGCCTCCCGCAACTTCTTGTAATCGACGCAGAACTTGCGGATCATGGGAGACCTGTCGCCATTCCACAAGCCGCGCGCCTGCAATGCCTTCTTGAACAAGCGCGGGTGGCAACGCGGAGCGGCGCGCTCGATGTAGTCGGGGAGCGCGGCCACCCGTGCCTCGCGAGTGAGCTTCTGGCCACCGACCCCTCGGCATAACCCGCGCCCATATGGATCAGATGTGTAGTAATCCATCGGCAATTTAACCGACCGCTCGTCGCTGTTGTAGTGGGCGGCGCAGCGCTGGATGTACGCGTCGAGCGCAGCCTGGCGCCGATCTCCCCTGTCGCTGGCGTACTCTTGCAACGCGCCCAAGGAAGGCATCTCAACGCATCTGATCTTCGCGGTGATGGACGCGCCATCAAGGGCCGTCGCGGGACTGCTCAGGTGCTCCAGGATCATCGCGTACCACTCTACGGGGCCATCTGCAACCAGCGTCGATGTATTGTCGATGTGTTCGAACGGGTTGCCCCATTCGTCCCAGTCTCCAAGAGCGCCCCTGCCGCCGCATGCCTCCCACGCCCGCACCATCTTGTCGTAGTTGACCATGAGCTTCCTCAAGACGTTGGTGTCGGCCTGCGCGAAGAGGCGCAGATTCGACTTCCCGA